GAGTGAAAAAACTTAAATAATTTCAAAGTATTTATAAATTAACTATATTAGTAAAGTATGTGCAATTACGTGTTCGATTTTATGATTATTACGGAAATATCTTTTATTATGATACATGTGAAATTTCAAAAATTATTTATATTACATTTGTGACTTGGTATGTGAGACATGTGATGTTGAGATCGGCCAGGAAAGTAGCCATGATTATATATTTTTTCTAGTTTACTGAGGGGCATTGGCCGTATTCTATACTATATTGAGGGATTTTGACTGGGACTGAAGGGGTTTTGACCTTGTACATATAATTTATTGAGGGGTCATTGCCGTGTTTTAAGAATTGATTATAAGAGGTCTTTGAGACCGGCTTTTGTTCACTAAGGGGGCTTGATGCCCATGTCGGAAGTGCTTAGCCCAAGAGGCAGTCTACGTGCGTATGACTAGCTTATAGATTTTAGTCAGAGGGTACATTTTTGGTGAATTTTTCAGTATATTTGATGTGATGAGATTATAATATGATTACCAGCTTATATTCATATAATCACTTGAGATGATATTTTACAATGTTATGTGAATGTCTTACTTTTTGGCTATAATTATATGATGTTGTCTTGTGAATTATTAAATGATATAGACTTGATTTTGATAAAAATGTATAAATTAAAAAGTATATTTATTTTGAACTTCTCCACTTATTGAGCTATCAACCTATATATTTTTTTACATTTTTCTTATCAAGCAATAGTTGAGTATTTGTGTATCTTATTTCTATTGTGTTGTGTTATAGTTTGGGAATTATATATAGTGGATTACAGGTTAGTTAGTCATATTTACAGGGGAGATAATGCTGAAATTCTATTAAAAATAAATTATAAAAAGTTGGATATTATAGTTGCAGTAGCCTTGATGGTGGGTTCAACTTTTAGTTGGTATCCATCTTCGATGCATGCCACATTTCGAATCTAGTAATGTTACACGGGATAGGGTGTGTCATAAATGCCATGAATCTTATTTTTATTGTAATTTAAGAATTATAAAATTTCATGATCGTAAATAAAATGTTTACAACAATATATACCCTTTTTTGGGTAAAAGTAAACTTAAATTTTTTTTTTTTTAATTAGCTAAACACATCATACTTCCCATCTATTTTTAAACAATAACTACGCTAAAAGGGCAAAAAAATAAAAAAATAAAAAAATAGACTTGTCAAATTAAGAAACCATATGAAAGTAATTAAGTATATTGTCAAAGTATGTGCAATTATGTGTTCAAGTTATATGATTATTAAGGAAATCTCTTTTATTATGATATATGTGGAATATCAAAGATTATTTATGACATATTTTTGACTTGGTATGTATGATATGTGATATTGAGATTTGTTTGGCATATGAGATATGACATTGAGATCGGCCAGAAAAGAACCCATGATTATATACTTCTTCTAGTTCACAGAGGGGCCTTGGCCGTGTTCTATCCTACACGGAGGGTCTTGACCGGACATTGGTCTTGATCGTGTACATATAGTTCATAGAGGAGCCTTGGCCGTGTTCTAGAATTGATTATGAGATGTCTTTGAGACCGGCTTTCGTTCACAGAGGGGCCCAAAGGCCCGTGGCGAAAGTTCTTTGCCCGAGAGGCGGATTACATATTTCAGTTAGAGGGTACATTTTTGGTGGATTTTTCAACACATTTGATGTAATGAGATTATAGCATGGTTATCAGCTGATGTTATATCATGATTTTAAGATGATATTTTATGACCTTATGTGAATATTTCACTTTTTGGCTATAATTGCATGATGGTGGCTTGTGAATTATCAAATGATATGAATTTGATTTTCAATAAAAATGTATAAATTAAAAAGTATATTTATTTTGAACATCTCCACTTATTGAGCTATCAACCCATATATTTTTTTACGTTTTTCTTATCAAGCAATAGTTGAGTATTTGTGTATCTTATTTCTATTGTGTTGTGTTATAGTTTGTGAATTATATATAGTGGATTACAGGTTAGTTAGTCATATTTACAGGGAAGATAATGTTGAAATTCTATTAAAAATAAATTATAAAAAGTTGCATATTATAGTTGTAGTAGCCTTGATGGTGGGTTCGACTTTTAGTTGGTATCCATTTTCGATGCATGCCACATTTCGAATCTAGTAGTGTTACACGGGACAGGGTGTGTCATAAATGCCATGAATCTTATTTTTATTGTAATTTAAGAATTATAAAATTTCATGATCGTAAATAAAATGTTTACAACAATATATACGCTTTTTTGGGTAAAAGTAAACTTAATTTTTTTTTTTAATTAGCTAAACACATCATACTTCCCATCTATTTTTAAACAATAACTACGCTAAAAGGGCAAAAAAATAAAAAAATAAAAAAATAGACTTGTCAAATTAAGAAACCATATGAAAGTAGCAAGTAGGCAACAGGATTAAAAGGAACTTGAAACTTTCATGAGATACAAGGTCAATAAAAACTCAAAGCTCCCTGATGCACATGTAGATCATTAATATGAATGAGATTGGTTCAGTTCTTTGCCAAAGACTGACATGGAGAATGGTACAAATAATCACCAAAAACAAAATTTTACTTGAATAAAAAAAAAAGGATTCAAGTAATGCATTCTCGGATTATATCAGAAACTCGAAGACCAATAAACAGAGATGAGACCATTGAGCACTGTTCGACTCGATCATCGTTACATTTTAATTGCAATAGAACACAGAGTATATCAGTTTCATTTCTGCATTTACATATGGTTCAAGAGAGTTAAAGGGTAGTAAACGTTCAATTTCATTAGCAGAAAAGAAATTTCAACTCAAAGCTTTACAGTGATTTGCAGCTGTTAAGAAATCAAATGAACAATCAAATAAGCAAACAAACAGAATATTATTTATAACCGAACATGTGACTAAGAATTGTTCATCGTCCAGTCAATCTCTTTTATTTCCAAACAGTGTACATTCAACCCAATTTTAATACGTTAGAAATTTTTGAAGCTGTACAATGGTCGTGTGAATATCATACAACATATTTGAAATAAATTCTAGTATATATCAAAAAAAGTAAATTTATTATTCAAATTTTCAGGCTATATTTTTTTTATCCGATCTCCAGAAAAGGTAGATTTGGGCTCTGATACCAGATTTTAACGTCAAAATTTATTTATTTATTTTTATTTTAATAAAAACAGACTTGAAGTATTACCCAAAAAAAAAAAAAAAAAACCCATCTTCTTTTTCTAATTTAAGAGAAAATTTCCTTTTATTCAAAATTTGAAATTTAATCGACAAGTCAATAATGATAAACCATCAATTTAAGTGAAAACTTTCACATAAAATAAAATCTTAAAGTACTACGATTTCAAACCATCAATTCAAATTTAACATAAAATGTTAAATGTTTGAACATAGGAAAACCTACTAAATACAGTGCTCAAAATTTAACATAAAGATGTTCTTCAACAAGAAAAATGAAATTTGCAAATTATCATCTTTAGAAATTTTACTTGGCGGCCCCATAAGCATTACTCAGTCAGTCTGTCATATGTCTACACGACTCATTCTAATCTAAAAAGTTACTGTAAGAGTGAATATTTTGAAAACACTCAATAAAAAATACATACATATTTTTATTAACATGATATAAATATAAAATGACATAATATATCGACTTTTTTTAAATTTAAAGTAAATTGGTCACAATATCCAATAGCTCAAGTAATTTTTAAGAATTTCTATATCACGTAAGATTTATATATTTAACCAAAAAGTTCATTTTGTAGAATTTAACATAGAAATCGACCATAAGAACTAAAAGTATTTCATGCCAAAATTTATATAAACATCAAGAAATAAGAATTTGTCACTTTTCACTATGCATTCTTACCTCAATTGACATAAAAATTTCTGAAATTATTCCTTGAGACAATGATTAAAACTAGGTAGAATGTTTGTAACAGAATGAGAATCCAACTTTTGATATTTTTGAACTTGGCTGATAAAATAATACTCCTTTTTAATGTGTGTTAACGTGTGAAATGTATATGCAAAGGAAAAAAAAATTCTCACATATTACATATGTATAGCTAGGGCTAGATAAGGTCCGGTTTGGTTCTAATGAGAATCGAACTCGATTTGAAATTTTCGGATATTTAGAAAACGGTTTAATTGTCAAACCGTTCGGGTTCGGGTTCGGTTCCATTCAGTTCCAATGTTCCATATTATAATTAAATTTTTTAATATTTACAAAGTTACATTAATTCAACTAATGTTATATTCAATTTTAACTCTTACAAAATAACGTAATCCCATCTTATGTGTTTTTTGTGTCTCTCTTTGCTGAGTTCTTCATAGATTTAATTGTTAAAATTACAGGAAGAGGAAGATAGAGAACTCAAAATAATTAAGAGAAGTGTTGTCAAATTTCAATTCGATCTCTCCAGAACGGTAGAAACGACACTATGGTAGAGTAATAAATTTGGATAAAACTTAGGTCAATCTGATTAAGTTTGCTTTGAATTGAAAGTTAGAAATAAGGAAATCATATTTTCGGGTTTGAACTAAATTAACTAGTTAATAAATTTATTTAGAAAAAAAAAATAATTTGACTTATTTAAAATAAATTAGTTAAAAAATTAGGGAGATTCGATTCTTCGATTCTTGATCTAGAACCAAGAATCGAACAGAACCTGTCGGTTCTCGATTTAGATATCTGTTCGTATATCTAATTTAAGAAGACTCGTTGAAATCCCTAATTGGATGTGATGGAGGAGGAAATTTGTGATTAGCTCTCTGAGTGATTGTGCCTATTACGGAAAGTCATCATCCCGTGAAAAATCTATTAATCTACACTTAAAAAAGGGTTTGAAAACTATCAACTTTTTATATATATCTCGCAAAAATTAATTGTTGGATTGTTTTAGCCGAAATTTTCCAATTTTGATTAAGTTTCTGGCCAATGAAATAAATCAAATTGCTAAATTGAAGCAAACACAAAGAGTGATCAGTAATTGATCAACTTTTATAGAAAGAAATTCTTGATACTAGACCATTATTTCATGTTACATAACTGCATCATGACATTCATTTTGAACTATGAAGTGGATAATAGGATACGGGTATCAAGAACAGATGATTTTTTCTTCCACCTGATGCCCCAAAATTCTCAGTCATATCAAATTCTTCAGGAGAAATTCCCCCAGGAATTTTCCAATCAAAATGGTACAATAGTTGTGACAGTGAAATCTCAACGCTTGCTAATCCAAAGCCAATGCCGGGACACATCCTCCTTCCCGCGCCAAATGGTATGAACGCATAATGATTCCCATTAAAATCAATGGGAACATTGCTGAATCTCTCTGGTTCAAACTTTTCTGGATCATTCCAATACTCAGGATTCCTTGCCATTGCCCAAACATTAGTCATTACTATTGTTTTCGCAGGAATATCATAACCATCAAGCTTGCATTGTTCCCTGCACATTCTAGGGCATAATAGGGGACCTGGAGGGTGTAATCTTAATGTTTCTTTGATGATCATTTTTAGATATTTCAATTCCTTAATGTCACTATCTAAAATTCTTTCTTTTCCATCAAATGAGCGTCTTACTTCCGCCTGTGCCTTCTCCATTGCTCCTGGATTCTTCATCAGTTCAGACATTGCCCATTCGATGACTAAAGATGAAGTTTCAATTCCAGCAATAAACATTTCCTGTATTCAAGCCAAAATTAATTTATAAGTTCAATGAAAATTTCGATAAAACGGATATAAATTTTTTGAAGCACCTCATAAAGTCATAATACAATTAAGACCAGCCACGTCAGCCTATTTGCTTGATAATTTAATATTATGAAATAATATATAGTTCATTACCTTAAAATTTTTATTATATTGATATTACCATTTTTTGTTCTTGAAATTCATATTTAACAAAAGTAGGCAAGTAAATGGGTTAATAAACATTACAAAAAAAAAAAAAAAAAAAAAAGTTTTGAATGTAGATTTTACTCACCAAAATGTTTGCTTTAATGTTGTTCCTGGTGATGGGAACAGGAAGGGCCTTGTTCGCACTGATCCTTAAGAAAATGTCCAATATATCTTCTTCCATTGATTCTGAACTTTTACTTTGCCCTTTTCTCTCTTGGTGCTGTTGGATAATGTCTTCCAAAATTGCATCAGTCCTTCTTTGCATCCTATTCAATTTTCTTTCAGATCCACAAAGAAAATGGAGGAACTTCATCGATGGAAAAATATCCGCAACATTGAAAAATCCTGCAATTGATACAGCTTCTTTTATAGTCATTATTATAGAATTTTGGTCCTTACAAATTCTCCCCACTGTTGCCATGCAAATTATGCCACTTTCCACGGCTAAAATATGTTCAGTTAGATTTATTTGTAGCCCCGCTGAGGACCTTATGGACAGAATCAGCTTGGAAACTTCGTTTTCCATAAGAGTGTGAAATGATCGAACTTTCTTACTGCACAGGAATTCTGAAATGCATAATTTACGCATCTGTCTCCAGTATTCACCGTGTGGAGCGGATGCAATGTCTGAACAGTTGTGTAACAGGATTTTGGCTATCATAAGCTCCGCCCTATCTGAAAACGCGACATCATTTGTTTTCATGATTTCTTTTGCTATACGAGGAGATGAAACCACGATTGCTGATACTTCTCCAAGCTTTATGTGCATCAGCGGGCCATATTTTTCTGCTAGGTTTTTGAATGCATGGTGTGGTAGGGAACCTATCAGCAGGTGCAAATTTCCTAAAATAGGAAGTTTCCATGGCCCTGGTGGCAAATTTTGAGCTCTAGATTTCTTGTAACGGTTAGCTACCAGGAACAAGAAGAAGGACAACAGGAAACAGAAATTAGAGAGGGAAATAAGGAAATGAATATCCATTGAAGCGAAAATTGGATGCTTGAAGTTTTTGACAAATGATCTAGGCAGCTGCATGCAGTACTTATATGTAAATATGTAAATGCTAAACATAACATTTGTTGAACCCCGCTTGGCCGACGGGGGGTGCGTTCACAAGGCTGTCCAAGTTGCACACAATGGGAGTGGGTGGATTAATTTTTTATTCAGATGGGCTCCACCCTTCTTGAGTTATCTGGCCGAGTTCACAGAACCCGGCTTCTTTACAGGAAGAAAAATTCCTTTTTATCGGTCAAAACTGGAAATAGATTTATTGTCCCTGTTTTATCCCCATTATTTAAAAATTCATTCTTTGTTTTCAAAATTCTTTCTCAATAATACATTTTTTACAATAAAATATTGTACACGTAAACCAAAATTTTTAATACTTTTTAACCCATACATTCTCAAAAAATTCACTATTACAAAACTCATCTTCTATAAAAAAAAAAAAATATTGAGATCAAACGTAGGAATGTAATAAACTGTTTTTCAAACATTAGAATGTTGTAAAATGTATGTATATGTGTCTGTGTATATATATATATATATATATATTATATTATATTAATTTTTAATTTAATTTTTTTCAAGTTAACTTACGGTCCTCTCGATAGTAAGGTCCCTCTGTTTCATGAGATCAGAAAGTTTGAGATCAATGCTGCTATAAATGAAATATTAGAGTAAAATATACAACAATTAAAAAAATTTGGGACTACTTAAGTTATCCCTACAACCTATAATGGTCAATGAATGTGGGCCAAAAGATGTAGCTCTCTTTTCAGACAATTAATTATGCACACAAGTGAAAGGATATTTTGCACTGTTTTCATACACGACCAGAGCATGGATGAGAAAAAGATTAAGCCCCTTTTGGCCCCATTAATTTTATTTCCATTACATTTCATTATCTTCTCCTATTTTCAATCACACAATTTTCTATAAAATAATATTACATATAAATAAAAAATTTTCCATCTTTTTCAACCACTCATTTTTCAAAAAAAAATATTATTCTACCCATTTTCTTTTCCACAAAATGAGGGTCAAACGGGGGCTAAGGATGTTCAATCGAAGTCGAATAAGTAGTTAGTTAAAAAATAAAAATATATAAAATAGAATTTTATCACATAATATATGATTATTTCCACATGATCCGTTCAAAGTTATTACAAATCCATATTTATCAATGTAAAATTTCAATAAGTTGTTTTTCCATATAAAAATTAGCATCCATTTGTCTACATTAAAAATACTATTTTAAGATGCAGATTCGCAGCTAATTGATGTGATTATACATTAGAAAGATTATATTTATTGAAGGTTAAACCCCAACATTGAGGGTTCCCACCACCCAACCCCGTCTCTGGAGCATTGTGAGAGAGATAAATTTCGAGATGTGCTTTAGCAGGTCAGGGAACAAGAGCTTGTCCATACACTGATACACACAAATAGTCTAATTCCATATTTCAGGAATCGAACTTTCACACTGTGGCTGCCTGCAAGGCTAAGCTACCTCACTCCTATCCTTTGCACCACTGGGCTATGCCCCTGGGGGCGAAAGATTATATTTATGGGCATGGCATAGGTGAACGATGGGTTGTCAACAAGTTTAATAAACCCACATAAAAGAGCTACGTTGGGATGAGAGAGATTTAGTCGGATCTGCTACTCAATTTTATTGTTCATTTTATTATCTATCTAATTAATTCTTAACATATGGGTTGTCAGAAAGTTTAATAAACCCACAGAAAAGAGCTACGTTGGGATGAGAGGGATTGAGTCGGATCTGTTACTCAATTTTATTGCTCATTTTATTATCTATCTAATTAATTCTTAATATGTCATCAATAATTAACATGTTATCTCAAATTTACTCTCATTAACTTCTTCGCTAACTCATTATATTGATGATGTGTCAAGAATTAATTGGATGGATAGAAAAATCTCAACTCTTGTGATTGGGGTCAAAGGATAAGCAGCTAAAGCAATTTTATGTGGTTGTAGTTAAAAATTTAATAAATTTTTTTCTTAAATTCTCAATTGATAATTGTCAATACAAACCGACAAATATAGTCAAATTTTCGATTTATGGCTTAATGGGCCATGACATTCAATTCATAAACGGAAGAAGCTATTTGTACAGCACCAATAGGTGCTGTACAGGTACAATCCCTCATTGTGGGGGTGGGGCTGTGAGCCGTGCTGTGTGCTGAGCTGTACACACATCACGGCTCTTCTTAAACACCACTCAAGTCAAACTCCATTATTAGGAGTGACACACCCCAAGTTGAATTCCATTATTGGTAGTGGCATTTAATTCATGAAGACTTTTGAGAGAGTTTGTATAATCATTATGATGTAACAACTACCATTATGCAGACGGACCAGGCCCCATATCGTTTAACCCTATGTAGACCGATCCCTATAGTCATCCCGTTTTCGTCAGTTGATAATTTGCGTAAATCGACAACCAACTAATTAATCGATTTAAATCTTAATTGGACTATTAAACAACATTGTGTAGAGGTATCTCTAATAGGTGTCAGAAGACCGATCCTCAGAATGCCATGACAAAAGAATTAAGCTAGGCGTACACCCTTCAATTATTTGGTCATTGTTTGGAAAAATGTTGTACAGGATTCTGCCAACTCATAGATGTGTCGAACTAGGTGTACATATAACATGATTCTTAACAAAAACACCTTTTTCACCTCCTATTAGAATTTCAATAATGGGGTATATGAAAATAGTTTCTAAGTAAAGTAGAAGTAATAGTAGCACAAAAAACTCGTTAATTCTTGAAGATACAACTGAAGAGGTTCAGAGAGGCCTCCGTAAACGAGCACATATATAGGAAGTAAATTGTCACCCTCTAAGCATTTGGAGCTATCCGGCTAGGCAAAACATGGAGATAGGTAAACGAAAAATCTAAGCCATTTGTCTGTAATATTCTTATAAAATTGCTTTGCACCTCAAGAGGATTATAGCTAGGGAGTTGTTCAGTAGGTTAGGGGCTTTTAAACACTGCTATGAATTGAGTGCAAGATGATAACATAATGAAATAAATAAGAACAAACTATGAGCACCAAGATTTATGTGAAAGCCCAAGATGGAAAAAAACACAAGCAGAGGAGGAGAAAGTAACTATAATCAATAGTAATTGTGTTTACAACAAGATCTCAATACCCTCAATTAAGATTTAAAACTCTCAAGATATTGTATGAATGTTATAGGAACAATACAAACCGTGACTTATAGATATAGGCATAGAAATCAAGTTGTAGATGAATAAGAGTCCAAAAAACACATCAGACCGCTAAATGGGCTTGAATTGGATAACCCTATCACTCGAGCGATAGGCGAGCAACAAGTCTTTGGAGAAAATATACAAGAGTTACTCGAGCAGCAGCTAATGTTAGGTTAGCGAAAATACGACGACTTTTCTTCCCGGTCCATAATTTTGATTTCTTCAAGACTACTTCAAACAAAACTCCAATACCCACTAGAATTTGGGTCAAATTATAACAAATCTCCACCTTGAACCAAATTTCAATACAAGGAATTTCATAATATCTTCAAAGTAAACACCACGGTTTCTCTTCCAAACAAGCCCCCAATGGGTTAAATCAATGAAAAACACCAACTAAGTTCAAGCAGTGCTCAAACTTAGCAATGGAAAGTAGTTTTGTTATCATATCATCAGGATTATCCTTGATATCAACACTGTTCACTACAATATCATCATGAGAAATCACATCACGCACGAAATGATTCCTCACATCAATGTGTTTAGTCCTCTCATAGAACATCTGATCTTTAGTCAGAAAAATAGCTATGACAAAATATTGTAAAAATCTGCACGTCTTCACTGATTTCACCAATTAATCTCCTCAACCTCACAGTCCCTTACATGCCTCTGTAATGGTCATGTACTTTGTCTCTGTTGTAAACAAAGTTACTGTATTTTGCAAAGTAGTTTTCCAGCTAATAATACAGCCTCCAAAGGTAAACACATACCTTCTAGGTGTTTTCCTCTTATCAAGATTCCCTACACAATCCGAATCTACAAACTTAATGACTACATTTATATTTCTACCGAAATGCAAGAAAGCATTAGTAGAGCTCCTCAAGTATCTGAATATCCATTGCACTGCTTTCCAATTTTCTTTGTCAGGATTTGCCATGTATCTACTAAAATGTTCTGCACGTAAATCCATTTTTTTAATCTGTACATTCTCCAAAAATTCACTATTACAAAACTCATTTTCAATAAAAAGAAAAAAATGGGGATCAAACATATGAATATACTAAATTGTTTTTCAAATATTAGAATGTGGTAATTGGTTCTGTCAAACTCTCTAACTTTCATATTGAAAAAAATAAAAGAAAAAATCAAATAGCTTACAAAGCTCTATAAATCACGATGTGATTCATTTAAATAATATTTTTCTAATATTGTCAACTACCAATAAATGTGATCTCCATCGACATTAAATCCCTCTTTACTTAAAAGAGGGAGTCCGTCAGTTACTATTCATTCACAACGTATTTTGATTTTCCCTTTTATCCTCAAAGAAAACAACAAACTACTGACGCCATTGGTAGTCAATTCAACCAAATTTGTGTGGTACCGACACTATTTCAACTAAATTTTATTATTATATAGAAAATATCTTCATTGTGGTCAAATTTGCAAAGACTGGTCAACATCGATAAATCTATTTTGACGTGATTTAGAAAATTTCCTAATAATCTTTTAAATTATTTTTAGTATAAAAAGAGACATGATTTAAAAAATGAAAAATTTCGATAACAAGTTAACTAAAAATTCATCAACGATTGTACGATAGTCGAATCTATAAATTTTCTATATTCTCTTAAAGCTCATTTTGAGGACAATATCATAGATATATCGATTGATCTAAATGAATATCGAAAATATCTAAACGCATATGAAACGTGTGTGTTCAAAAATGCGTATAACTCGTCTTTTTTTATTAAAAAAATCAATTAGTTTCTTAGTGCTTATTATTTTT